GGCCTCCACGCTCGCCAGATTTATCCCTGTGTGACTACTTCTTAAGGGGATATTTAAAGCACAATTTCTACGAGAATCGACCTCACACCATTGACGAGCTGAATGAAGCCATCAGGACTACCATTCTGCAAATTCCAGTGGAAATGCTGAGGAAGACAACGGACTGTCTCAGGCGACGGACAGAGGATTGTATGCATAACAATGGAGCTCATCTGACTGGTGTTGTCTTTAAAACGTAGTTATCACATGGCACGCTTTTTTTACAGACTTCACAAATCTGTAAGTGTTTATTATATTAACTGAACATAAATTACCCACTTCAAAAATTTAAATCGTCTAATGTATTCTGCCGCATCCTGTATTAATCTGTAAATGTAATATATTTAACATCACATATATCTGTTCACTGATATATATTACTGTAACAAACAAGCAAATTACACTTGCCCACATATAATCCATTCCATAATAATAATTTTTGGTAGAGCCTCAAAATGGTTAAATATGGTCGAAGCCTGTAGCCATTTATCTAATAAGTAGCTTGTCAGTTTCTTGCCTATTTTTCCAACACAAGTAATAAAATATCATTGTCAGGCAAAAATAAAAAGGACCATTCCATAACTATATAATTTGCAATGCATATATCACATACAAGCTTAAGAACTAATGGAGGTTGTTATCACTGTGGCTGGGCACTGCTAGTGGATTTCATCCAGAGAAGGTGACAAATGAGAAACATTGCAATAAGTATTACAGAAGTAACATGTAAGTAGGCAAATTAATACGTACAGAAATGTTCTTACTGCACTGTTTAAAAGATAAGACAAATGTTACGTCTCTGGAAACATGATGGTAACATTGTACCTTCCCTGTAAAACAAAGACTAAGTTCATGAAAATTAACTCTTCAGACTGGGGATTTAAATTCCGCAGTCGAGCTCGTACAGCGGTAGTTTTTTTTCGATGTCCATTTAAATCTTGCTCTAAAACACTGTTTTTATCATAACTTTTAAATTATATGAGACATAATAATGAAATTTCACTGAAATCCTCTTAAAAGATGGTTTTATAATCTTACCTTATAAGATAAGCTCCCTGTGTGTGACAAATGGAAGCAGGCGAATTAGAAGTTCAGTTTCGTGTGAAAGTTCTTGAAACATCCGTCTATACACAACCCTGCCTCACATTCAATACACCAATATTTAGAGTCTCTCCTCATCCCGTGTTTCGTACAAACCACACACTTTCTTTGAGGTCTAGCCTTCTTTCCAGTGGGTGGAATACGTTCCGGGAAATGTCTTTCTGAGAGTCTCTTAGGTGGGGGCTCAAGTGATGGATGGCCGGTTACAGGACGTGGAACAGCAGGACCGTGTTTCTCTACGAGACCTTGGGCGAGAAGAATTCTAAATTTCAGGGTGTCTATTTTCTTGGTATTTGGAACAGACCGGTACATGACAATTGCGTTATGTATTGCTACATTCAGTAATCTTTTGAACAATGTCATGTACCACTTTGTTCCTCGTTTTCGTTCCAGCAAGTACAGCTGGAGCATCTGATCTTTCAGATCAACTCCTAGCATGTGCTTGTTGTAGTCACGAACAACCACAGGCTTGATCTGTACTCGGTTGGCTTTGTTTTGAGTCACACACATATGATCCTTGTGATAAGTTGATATCATTGTGACTCGCTTCTTGTCTTGCCACGTGAGAACTGCCACATCGCCAGAGTGTAGACCACAGTGCTCTCCTTTCTTCAATTTCTTACTCTTCACTGCAGGAGGGACATTCTTCCTATTGGCACGTAAAGTTCCAACACAGTCTGTAAACATAAACATAAAACGTGCCAAATCCGGTGAATTATAAAAATTGTCCATCCACACTGTGTGTCCACGACCAAGAAGGGGTCCTAGCAGTGTGACTACAATTGCTGCAGTTTTGTTTGTTTCTGCAGTCACAAACTGATTCGTCAGTTCCATGTCTTTTCCAGTATACACGAGAAAAGACCACACATAGCCAGAGCTAGACTCGCATAGTTCAAAAGTTTTTATGCCAAATTTATCAGCCTTGAGGGGTATGTATTGTTTGAAAGACAAACGACCTTTCCATAGAGTCAAGGACTCGTCTATCGCAATGTTCTGGGATGGAAGATACAAATTTTGAAACTTGTTATTTAGGTGCTGAATGACTGGATAAATTTTGAAAAGTTTGGGAGGTCCGTGATATTCATTTTGCTTACTGTTATCTGCAAAATGCATAAATTTGTTTATTACCTATAGTCTTTCCAGAAGTAAAGTCTCAGAAAAAAACAGAGTGAACAGCAGCCAGTTCTTTGCATAGTAAGATCTAAGTGTAGGCTTTTGTACAATGCCCATCACCATAAATACAGCCAAAACCACGTACATTTCGTCCACTGTAACATCTTCCCACTTCCTAATCCTATAGCGAAATGTGAGAGGATTGGCACTTT